TGTTACTACCTTTTTTCTTTTCAAGAACTGCAGTCTTTTTAATTACATTCGACCTATAATTTTTATTTCTATTTTTAAAAATATTTCCAAGTTTGAATTTATCATCTTTTATTTGTGTACTTGGAGATACCTATGCATAGTTACCTCTCTTCCCTATCAACACTGCCTTACATATGTGTCATCAGAGTAGGATTATTCTTGCAAAACAAGTTTGCAGTACCACGGTATGTTTGCTTATTATGTGTGGACCATTTGTCTGTCTTTTTTTGTATAAATTGAACAATTAAATCATTGATTTTACTTGTATGCTGTAAAAAATGTCAGAATAATAAAACAATATTATATAAACAATATTACCAGTAGTTTGGTACTTCGAGTTAATATGACATGATTGAATGCTGAAATGCTGAAAGCCTGTATTGAAATCACTAGATTGCATTATTAACAATATCACAGTACTTCTTAAAATAAGAGGTGCTTCTAAGAGAGGCACTGTAGGTCCAGTGGTCCAAATTTACATCATGCTCTGCAATATTCTGTAATTTAATTATTGTGGCCCTATTGTAAAGTAATAATATCGCTAAGATTTATAGTTGCCCATCAGGAGAATCAATTCTTGTCATTCACTTTGTTTTTTGCATTAAATTGAGATGTAAGATGACCACAGGAAAGTATGCTAATATTTTTTAAATTGTGTTTTTATTCTTTTTATTGTTTCTGAGATTTAAAAAAATCATTTAATATAATGCATTGTGTTTTATTTGGAGAAAATTCTTTGTTACATTACTTTTCATTTGTAACATTTACATTTAACATATATGACAGTAAATTATATATATACATATATATGTAAAAGAAATTTTATTTCAAAGGGCCCAGTTTTAATAACTTACTACCATACTATAGGTGGAAAAATGAAACAAATTAAGGTTGCATTTTGCAATTTGATTTTCAGGATTTTAAATTTTGTTTATATTTCTAATTTCATATATTTTCTGACATTTCTCTACTAGCACAGACACAGACATATTCACACATACGTATACATAGATGTTCTGACCTTACACTTTTGCTTGAAAGTTTTGTTCTACCCAGAATAACCCCATTCATCCTTTCCATCTTTCTAAATCTTGTCCATTCTTCAAAACACTCTAAATCCTGCGTGTTCTCCTCTGGCCACAGTGGCATGAAATCCTCTCTCCTTCCTCTATCTCTGGTCTTTAATATTTGTATCATTCATTTATTAAATATGTTCTTTCTCTAAATAGTTTTTAGAGTTATGCTGCTTCATATTTTTATTTAACTTTTATATGCAATCATCTAAACTGTAAACTTATTGAGAACAGTGTGCTAAGTCCATCTTTATCAATGTGCTCTCTAAACTGCCTTCTTTAAAAACTAATAAATACAACAGAAACAGGCAATATAAATCCACAATATCTTACATTTTGTATGGGAAAGTGATAAGATTTAAAATAAATATATTTATTATGATAATGTTGAGTATGGCTATTAATTCTCCCATGTGACATGTATATGGTTATCTATGTGTGTTTGTATTTATAAAGAAACTTTTTAACTTAATTCTGATTAGCCTCTTAACAGTTTTTCAAAATTCATTCTACTGTGTCTTCTCATGACTGATAACTTGAAAAGGTGAGTTACTGTCATTATAGTCCTTGCTTATTTAGGAGGAAACTGGTGTTCAGAGAATTATAATTTGATAATAAAGATTTGATCATTATTAATTGGTTAAGGAGGCACCACAATTAGAGTCTAGGAGTCTTCTAATCCAATTTCTCTCAAAATATCTGCAATGAAAGACCAGCTTCCCACCCCCCCCAATATGCTGCCAACCATTATTTTTTAGTAATATAATTGAATTACTAGAAAATTAAGAAAATAGATTAAACAAAACACAAGTCCAAATATGTTATTACTAGATTCAACAGCCATTAAATTACTTTAGCAAATAGCTTTAAGAGTTCCTAAATTGTTAATCTCAATGTGCTTATTGTTTTGGATGGATAACAAATAGCACATGGAACAGCTCCAGTCTCTGGACCACACTTTGAGTATTGTTTGCGTCAATCATGACATATCCCTTCTAAGAGAATCATCCTCATCCAGAACATCTGCCATCTAAATTGCTATGTTTACTCACACAGGATCTAACCCTAACACTAACCCAACCCAAACACTAACTCTTCAAATTTACAGCTGAATGGAGTGGGGCCAAAAAACAGATTGGCCAGCAATTTATGAACTGTGTGGCCAGGCTGCAAAAGATGAGCTGGGCTCATCACTTTTTGTCTCTGGATTTAGATATAATATGTGAAGAAAAAAATTTTCTGTGACAGTCGAAGGTTTCAGACATGGTTAAAATGTGAAGTAGCAGAAACTTTGAGTAATCTGTGAAAGTTGGATTGGGGCAGGGCAGAAAGAGGAATATGTGCAATGCAGCTGAGTCATATTAATAGTAGATCACCAAAGATTAAAGAACTGCTGAGGCTGAAATATATAAAGCTGCTAGAATTCTAGAATTACCTCCAGTACCCCTTAGGCCAAGGCATGAAACATTATTTTCTTTGAATGTCCTAAGACACAGATCCCACACTTCTTACAATGTACATATATATCCTAGCTGGCACAAATATGTTTCTGAATTATTCACAAAGCTTAGCTTAACCAGAGCATAGTCCCAGGCTTTTCATATTATACCAAACAAGCTTATTTCAGAACCAATCAAAACCACATTTGAAAGACAAGTTATTGGCATTCATATCTCTGCAATGAGATTGTAAACCAAACTGTGTTGATCTGGTGGAACTACCTGTTTGCTACTATAATCTATCTCCTACATATCTACCTTTCCATTTCTTTTGTTTCTAACTTAGTCATAAAAAAGAATAATTACAACATTTTTCATAGTTAATTGTAGTCTGATTTTGCTCAAGGAGGAAACATCTTAAAATTTATATCCAATTATCTCAATAATGGATGAGCTCCTACAATTCACCCCCTCGGTATGTTCTCAGATTTGCACAGCTCTTTAGAACCAAACCCCACTCTTTAATGGACCAGATATGTGCTTTTAGTTGTACTAACCCAGACACATATCATATGTTAATGGCTTCTGGAATCACCCCAGAAATCAAAGGTGTAGGTATAAGATTGAGTGCACAGTGATTTTCAAAACATGTTTTATTGCCTTGATGCTTTTGTTAAAAGAGAAAAATGTTCAGATTGATTTTAACTCCTTAGCTATATTAAAATAGCGTATTTGCTTCACAGCTAAAAAGTTTCCCTTAGTACAAAAATGAAATCATAGCTTCTTTTTTTATTCTTCAGTAAATTCTAAATTTGAAATTACTGCTAAATTAAATTGTTTGTGTCAGATGTTAACAATGTGGGGCCTTAGATTAAAATAAGCTCCATGTAATCTTACTGAGCCAGTAGGTCATAGAAATAAGAGAAAATGTGCTTGAATCGCAGGAGAGAAGGGATGTTGGATAGATCTGTGAAATCTTTATGTTGTAGTATCAGCTGATTGATAGCAGTGATTCTCAGAAGGGTTCCAATATTATGCCTTTTAAAAGCCGGAGATTAGTGCAACCATGGTGAACACAGTGACATTCTGGCAAAGAAAAAAGGGTCAGGGCTGGCAAAATGTGGCAGGTGTCAAAATAAAAGGTTAGGCTCTATGCCTGGGGACCCATCTGTCAGATAAAAGTATGACAAGGCAATTAATGTGTTTATTTATGTTGCTTATGACAAACCATGCATTCCCTAAAAATGATCAATTTAAACATTATCAACTGCTTTCTGGAAATTAAAATTAATATAAAAATAAAATGCTTAAGATAAAAAGCAAGGTCTACTACTGAAATAGGTTGTTTATATAACCAAATATAGTTAACTAAGGGAAATCACAGTAGTCTTCATTGAAGGATTAAAGCTATTAAATATAACATCTTGACAATATAGAGGTTATATTAAGGACCTACAAAATTAATGTTTATGTTGCAAAATTTTGCTAGCACTCCTCATAAGTTCAGCATGTTTTAGATTCATTGAGCTAAATTTGATAATTCCATAATAAAATGAAGCCAAGAAAATTATGAAAAAAATAGAATTTAGATATCCAAGCTATGTGTCTTGCATTTTCTTTAAATGTTTTGTTCACAACCTTGTCATTATTAGAGCTTTCATTTTCACTTTGTGACTAATCCTGACTTCTCTTTAATTTATTTATTATTTATTTAGTTTCTCACTACTTCTGCTTTACCATCTGTTTAAACTAGAATATGTTTAGATTTAATATTCATCAGTGATACTTTTTTTACAGATAAAATAAATTACTACAAGCTCCTAAAATGTCATGCATTTTACAGGTCAATAAAATTCTAACCAAGAATTATGAAACAGGATTTACTATAGTCTAAAGTTTTATGCAAAAGCCGATCATCTCCATACTTTCCTAAAGTAAAAAAAAGCTGTCAATTATCTTTTATTAGTAAATGATGCTCACACTTTATAGTAAGAACAAAATTTGAAGAGAAATAGCATGTATGTCTACAGTAATGTGATATGCAGAAGAAAACTTTAAAATCTTTAATTGCAGAGGAAAAAAGCCAATATGACTACGTTATTGGCAAGGTGCAGTTTCTATCTGCTGAGCAATGAAATTTAACAAGTAAAGCCATTGGAATACTAAATAAAATCATTTGGCTTTGAAAAGAACAGAGGTATTTTGTTCAGCAGTTTTGTTTTCTTTAGGTTGAGGCAGCAATTATGCCATCATCATCACTTTCCATCTTTTAGAAGGATGTTGGTTAAATTTTGAGCTAATTATTTCTTTTCTCCCCAAGATTCCTGTCTAGCCCTTACCATTATTATAGTTTTTTTTTTTTTGAAATTTTTATAAAATTATACTTTAAGTTCTGGGGTACATGTGCAGAACCTGCAGTTTTGTTACATAGATATACATGTGCCATGGTGGTTTGCTGAATCCATCCCCCCGTCACCTACATTAGGTATTTCTCCTAATGTTATCCCTCCCCAATCACCCCACCCCCTGTTATTCCTCCCCTGGACCCCCACCCCATGACAGGCCCCGGTGTATGATGTTCCCCTCCCTGTGTCCATGCGTTCTCATGGTTCAACAGCCACTTATGAGTGAGAACATGTGGTGTTTGGTTTTCTGTTCTTAAGCTATCTTCTACTTGTCACATAAAATGGCTTCTCAGAGGACAATACCAATGTCAGGATAGGAGTTGAGGAAGAAAAAGTAAATAAAAAGACACAAAATGCAAACTTTTTTATATTTTTCATTCAGTGGCCTTATACATGATTTACAAATTTTGCTTGAAGTTTAATTATAATTAACCACTATTTAAATCGAATTCACTTCTGGTTGTATTTCCTGATTCAGAGTTCCATATTGTTTCTATTGCTGGTTTTAATTTATTAGAACCTTAATTTTCTAAATTGACCCTATTTCCTGTCCATTTTTTTTTCATTCGCCTAGAGGTACTTGAAAACGCATTAGGCAAAAAAAGAGAGAAAATTTATTATTCACCATTTTGTACAACTCTTCAAAACTCTAGATATGCTACATAATCTACATAATAAAAGTAATAATTTCAAAAGAAAATCAAGATGCCACTCAATTTTGCCATGGATTTATAAAACTGACACATCAGACAAAAGGTAAGATTTTTTTTAACTTATTGACTGTGATAATAATCCATTATCAACTAGCTATTTCACAGCATATATTCTGTCTATATATTGGAAGAAAATATACAATGGAACTCATTTTATGAAAAGGAGCCAACTTAATGTATATCTTTATATTTTCACAGAAGCATATGAAAAAAATTTGCTGGGTATCTACTCACTTCAATTCAAACATTTGAAGAAATTAGGAAAATTCCGATGAGTTTTAAAACTCTTTGCTTACTCTCATGTAGTGCAACCATGCATTGATCTATCATCACAGGTATGGTTTCATAAATGTCCCCTCAACCAATCAGAAATTTGCAAAATTGTGTTCCTTATTTTTTAAAGCTTAACACATATAAAATAATTTGGGAAAAACAGATTTTCTCATTCATCATTCTTTCAATTCATGATAATGGTAAATGGTATTCTTGAGTACTTTTTTATTTTAACAAAGGATAAAAATTTTGGTGTAAAATCTGTTAAGTGAAGGGAGTGCCCAAGTACAATTTTGCTTATGTTGTGAAAAAAGTGCTATCAGTTTGAAAAATTCAATTGTTTCCAAATTGTTAAAATGAGTCCCTATTAATCACCAAATTATTTTTTTATTTGTGTTAAATAATTTTGGATCTCATCCATTTTCAAGGCATCATCCCCTGTTTCAGGACTTCTATATTTGTTTCTGGTATAGTCTATAGTTTTGTTTTATTTTAATTGATCAACCATTCATACAGCCCAAGGTAAGTATTATGTCATCCCTATTTGCAGATGAAAAATCTCTGATACAAAGCGGTTAAATAATTTTAAAAATGTGAGCCCACCTTATTTTAGTAAGAGGGCTTCTTCCTATTCATCTTCTTACTTGCTCAAACCAGAATGTTGAAGAACCAACAAGTTAAAGTGTGAAAGTTGTGCCATAAGGTAAGAAAAAAATAAATATGTGATGAAAATGAAAAAAAGAAAAGAAACAGCAGCAGCAAACAGTCTGAAACAGCAAAGAAATTTGTTGTGGGCCAAAAATAAGAAATTTAAGGTGAAATGTCCCAATAAAATACAAATAAGAAATAACACAAAGAAATTGTGAAAGCTTAAGGGAAAAAAAGAGGATAATGGAATGAAAGAAGCATAAAACTTTTCCTTGAGCTCTATCATATAATTTGTATAATTCTGAAAAAAAAAAACATTTCCTGTATTAATTTCTGAAACAGTACACAAAGACATCTGTGTTTCTAAAATTAAAAATGTTATTGACATTCATAATTTTTATGATTTGTCAGGTGAGTAGTTTATTATGTTGGGAGGGCATCACTGTATGATGATTTAGAGGATGGGCTTTGTAGACAACTGGGAGCTCAAACCCTGGCTCTCCTACTTCGTATTGTATCTGTGATCTTGGCAGTCATGTGTCAGCGTCACCTCCTACTGGTTTATGATAGCTGATTGTGTGCATCTCTCCCCAACATTGTGCTCAGTGACATAATGGGTAGTTTGAAATCAGCCAAGATGAGATTATTTACACCTCTAAAATTGGCACACCAAATCAGATAATCATGGTTTTATTTGCTATGTGCCAGCTTACCAGAATAGCACTGGACCTTGGGCAAGTTTCCTAACCTTTATGAACCTAAAGTTTTTTTTTTTTTTTATCTGAAAAGGAAAATTAAATATGACAGGTCCACATAGGATTCTGAAAGCCTTTCATTGGATGATACATTTTACACGATTCTCAGTACATAGTAAACACCAATACTGGTATCAGTGCAGTATTTTAATTCAGCCTATTGTCTGTAGAACATAGAACAGTTTCACATTTTTAACACCTTAGAAGACATTTCAATTAGTTCATGAAGATTCCAGGAGAGAAGGACTTATAAAAATGACTTTACTGACTTTATAGATGAAATGGTTTCTCCTAAATATTATCCGATTTTTGTAAAGAAGATAAACAATTACTAATATTCGAATAGTAAATTTCTTCTATGATTAGTTTAGAGAAAAATCTATTTCCCACTGTACATATATATATATATATATACCCACACACATATGTGTATATATATCCACACACATATATATCCATGTGTATATATATATTTTATGTGCATATACATATACACATACACATAAAATATATATAGAAGCTCAAGTCACCTCCTGGAATTTTAACCCATTCCCCTGAATTAGATTAAATTCGTGGCTTCAGTTCTTCAACACTTCTTGATAAGTTAATATGAGGATTGATGCTGCTATAGGCCCCACTGTTTAGAAAGCTCTCATAGAAAAATCTGAGCCAGAGGCCACTCGGTCTATCATGATGACAGACAGTATGTGTAACTTGAAACTTTAAAGGTAGGCACTGTGGGAAACAAATTTAAGGAAAGATTAAACAGTCTAGAGATAACTCTGCTTAGTTGCCTGCTTAAAAACTCTCATCTAGGTAGTCTTCAATATGGATTATTCTTAAGATCCTTTTTTTCATTTATGGCCTGGAATTTAATTATTTATAATATTTTAAAATGTCACACATATACATTTTCTGAAATAGTTTATAAAATGTAAAGATAACGTTATTTTTAAAACATTCACATTTCTAACCCTAGAAAGCATTTCAATTAGTTCGTTTTAAGAATCTACTTAAGTAACTTTCTAGTAGAGAAAAAAACAAAAACTACTGAAGTTGAATTGAAATGTAAGTCCTTTATTATTTCAAAGACTTCATGGTAGATTGTTTACAAGGATAACTGAAATAATTGGTCCTAACCCTGCATGCACACATCTTTGCAATATGACTTTGCTGTTCCTCTCATCAAGAGTTAAACTTTATTTCTCTCCCCTTTCAATCTGGCTTTGCCAGCTGACTTCCTTTGGCCAATATGACACTAGCAAATCTGATAAAATTAGAGGTTTGACAAGCACATGCCCATTAGGGCTTGCTGTCCTTATAGCCCTGAGACTGCCATGTAAAAAAGCTTGAGCTAGCTGCTGGGAGGAGAGACCACATTAGGTGGAGATGAACTATACCAGCTGTGGCTCCCTGGACTAAACTACCTGATATATGAGCAAGGTCACTGTAGACCATTCAGTCCTAGATGACCTGTCCGCTAACTGGAGTACAATTTATCACCCACAGACTCATGAGAAAAAATAAAATAAAAATTTTGTTTGAAACTGAGGGTTGGCAGCCCATGGACCAGATCCAGTCCATTACATGATTTTGTGCATTGTCTAAGGTTGCTTTCACACTACAGTGGCAGAGTTGATTAGTTATAACAGAGACCATATGGCCCGGAAAGCCTAAAATATTTACTATCTTCCCCTTTATAGAAAAAGTTTGCTGATCCCTGTTCCAAGGGACTAAGATTTGAGGTGATTTGTTAAGCAGCAATAGATAAATGGCACAGACCTATTTTCCAAAAGGAAATATGTCCCATTTTTTTACTAAATGAATTAATTTCTATGCTCACAAAAAAAATGCAAGCCACCCTCACTCCCATAAGGCCAGTAATCCCATCTATGGCAAAAGTATTATGATTCAGTTTGCATTTCTAAAGGACAGTTATGGAGACTGCTAGTTTTATACCACTATCTGTTTCTTCCCTTTTCCCACAATTGGAGCTGGGAATGCACCCACCCAATCAGGGATTACATTTCTGAGCTTCAATGTCAATTATGTGCAACCACAAGACTAGGTTTTCACTTCTATAATATGAATGGAAATCATGCATGCATTTCTTGGGCTTTCTCCATGCTCTTCTTCCCCTTCCCACTAACTGGAATCTGCAGCAACCTGACTTATAATACAGAGAATTAGAATGTCCTAGAGAAAGGAAGAGGACCAATGAAAGGAACCTTGGTCAGTTAAAAACTATGTAGAGCTGTTTGTTGTTTTTCTCATGTATTTGTCTAAGTTATTTGTAGATTCTGGATATAAGCCCTTTGTCAGATGGATAGATTGCAAAAATTTTATCCCATTCTGTTGGTTGCCTGTTCACTCTAATGATAGTTTCCTTTGCTGTGCAGAAGCTCTTTAGTTTAATTAGGTCCCATTTGTCAATTTAGGCTTTTGTCCATTGCTTATGGTGTTTTAGTCATGAAGTCTTTGCCCAGGCCTATGTCCTGAATGGTATGTCCTAGGTTATCTTATTGGGTTTTTATGGTTTTAGGTCTTATGTTTAAGTTTTTAATCCATCTTGAGTCACATTTTGTATAAGGTGTAAGGAATAGGTCCAGTTTCAGTTTTCTGCATATGGCTAGCCAGTTTTCCCAACATCATTTATTAAACAGACACTTCTAAAAAGAAGACGGCCAACAAACGTGAAGAAAAGCTCATCACCATTGGTCATTAGAGAAATGCAAATCAAAACCACATTGAGATACAATCTCATACCAGTTAGAATGGCGATCATTAAAGTCAGGAAACAACAGATGCTGGAGAGGATGTGGAGAAACAGGAATTGCTTTTACACTGTCTGTGGGAGTGTAAATTAGTTCAACCATTGTGGAAGACAGTGTGGCAATTCCTCAAGGATCTAGAACCAGAATACCATTTGACCCAGCAATCCCATTACTGGATATATAACCAAAGGATTATAAATCATTCTACTATAAAGACACATACACACGTATGTTTATTGCAGCACTGTTCACAATAGCAAAGGCTTGGAACTAACCCAAATGCTCATCAGTGATAGAGTTTATAAAGAAAATGTGGCACATATATACCAGGGAATACTATACAGCCATAAAAAAGGATGAGTTCATGTCCTTTGCAGGGACATGGATGAAGCTGGTAACCATCATTCTCAGCAAACTAACACAAGAACAGAAAACCAAACACTGCATGTTCTCACTCATATGTGGGAGTTGAATAATGAGAATACATGGACACAGGGAGAGGAACATCACACACTGGGGCCTGTCATGGGGTGGGGAGCTAGGGAAGGGATAGCATTAGGAGAAATATCTAATGTAAATGATGGGTTGATGGGTGCAGCAAACCACCACAGCATGTGTATACCTATGTAACAAACCTGCACATTCTGCACATGTATCTCAGAACTTAAAGTATAATAATAATTTTTTAAAACTATGTAGAGCAGGCACTCTCCCCAACTTAAAACACTATAAAGTTGAATCTTCCTTTAGCCACTGAATTATCATTAGATGTCATTTTCACAGTAGGCTACTCTTATCCTAACTAAAGTAATAGTTTTATACAATATACTTTGGCATCAGAATGATTTAGTTGGTAAAATATTGGATCTTGGGTCAAAAACTCTA